CTTCCCAGCACCAAGCTGCATTGTACAGCCAATACAACATGTATATAGAGAGCACATTGTGAGTTTCCTTTCTCCAACCCATCCTGAGTGTGAACCAAACATCTCATACCCCACACTACCAACTAACGTAATTAGAATTAATATAAATGATTGATAAAAACAGCCAGAGAACGTGTAGAGTGAAGGACTGGTCGCCAGCCATCAAATATGAGGACATAATTCTGACAGATTGATTATAAAGGAAACATAAGCATTGGAATAATAAAACTAAGACGTAAATGAGTGATGCATTAATAGGAGTTTATTATGTAAATCATGTGTTCTATTTATTAACAGCTTTTAATAGTACAGTGTTAGAATATTGAAAATTATGGTATTTTCATTATTATTAACATTACCATTATTTGAATCTGTCGCTAAGAATAACACTTTCGGGTGGAGCCCTTTAATTTACATATGGCGTCTCAGGAAGGTTTAAAAATACAGAATTTTGACTGATTTATTGATTTTTATTGGGAATTAATCACATGACAATAAAAATACATTATGGATACTAGAGTTGAGCACTTGGAGGATTTATAAGTACATTATACTTGAAAAGAGAAACAATTATTGGGTCTTATAAGGTCATTCAGATATCCCTCGTAACGATCTTCAAGAGTGAAGTGCTTCCCCATCTGGAGTACTGTCACCCCGTCTGGTCCCCGAGATATGCTAGGGAATGTCAGTTGGTTGAAAATGTTCAAAGTAGGGCCACCAGAGTGGTGCCTGCATTTCGGCACCTCAACTACCCTGAGAGATCGGAGCGCCTGAACTTGCCTAGCTTATACTACAGACGGACAAGGGGTGGACCTAATTGAGGTGTATAAACATCTCAAGGGGCACTACTCAGTCGAGTGTCCTTACTTGGAGCTGGCAGACGCTCGCCCCACACGGGGTCACAGCTCAAGATAGAAGAAGCCGCAGGTCCAGAAAACTGTGAGGGCAAACTTTTTCGGGGTGAGAGTTGTGAACTCTTGGAACAATCTACCAGAAAGTGTTGTGACGGCACCGAGTGTGAGCTCTTTCAATACCAGACTTGACCAACACTGGAGCGGGTTCAGATACATTCAGGAACCGGTGCATGTCCAGTACTTGCCAACAGTGCGTGACAGAGACGTGACCGATCGTCCAAGCGGCTAACGAGCCAATCATTGGTGAAGAGGATAAAAGAAAAGGAAAAGTAACAGAGACGTTACCGATCGCCCAAGCGGCTAACAAGCCGATCATTGGTGAAGAGGATAAAGGTAAAAAAGTAAAAGTAGACCGTCTGTTGGTATTTGTTGTGTATCCAGTACAGACATACACCCGGCACACCCTCGACGCTAGGTGTGTGAGTGTGTATGCATTTATAAAGGTGTTAAAAGTAGGAGTAGGGCAATAAGAATACCAAATAATTTCATATATATATATATATTTATGTATATATATATTTGTACATTATCAAACTTACCCGTTCAATACATCAGTAAAGGGCAACATACAAAACCTTGTCCGCTTCTCAAGTCTTCTAAAATGTCCCAACAAACAACAATAAAATCCAAAACAGACACATTATTAAAGTGACAAAGGTAAAGTAATTATTTTTTATTTTATTTTAGTTATTTTTTTTTACATTTTTGAAAGGCTCGGAACAAGGTCGATGGTAGTGTGACAGATTCAGCAATTAATAAGCCACGTGATTATGTTCAATATGGTTCATAATATTTATCTCAAGTTAACAACAGAACCATTTTGAGCATCATTGTTAGTTTAGGAGTCACTGGCAGCGTCACATGTGTAGACTGAATATCATGAGCGGCAGTCTTACATGGTGAATACCTATGGATCAAGTAAGGCACAATAATACCTTTTAGTGATGATGAGAGAGAGAGAAAATGAGTCAACAAAAGATATGACAATTGTGGAGGTGTGTGTACATTGTGTGATCACTAGTTGGAGAGTGAAGAGATTTATTGTGTAGTTATTCATTTCTTTTCGACTAAAGGATTACTCAGACTTGTAAGTTTTCAAGACTTTAAGTAGCTTAAGATGTTTTATGTGGCAGAAGTTTTTTATGAGACTGACAATACGTTTATACAGTACTCAGAAATAATATTGTGGAGGTTATGTCTATAGGATTTTTATTTTTTTCACTATTTTTTTTTCAATAAGAACATAGTGAATGAATTGGTATTATTATCTAATACCCTGAACTGCCTAGAATAATTTTCCTACAGAAATTAACTACAGTACTGTATATATTAATAACATTCAAGCCATGTTAATATTGGGACCAGTTAGATCTAAATATGTAAAGTTAGAACTAAATGTTGCAAGTGCTCTTCAGTACAAAAATAAGAATAAGATATTTTGTACAAGTAATTAAAGACAAGTGATTGGCATTAAAATAAACAATTGTACAAGACTGAACAGTAAAACACACTTCACTGTATGTAAGCAGCTGTTAAATCTTGTAGGAAATTCTGCATACTTACATCTAGCATGATTTTAGGAAAAGCCTGTTTCCAAAATGATGACTACCATACATATTGAGGTGTTTTTATCAACTTTCCATGAGCTGCTTGTTAATGAAGAGGTAATACACTGGACCTCATGATCTACCATAACATTAATTAAAACTGCATGCTGATGATGACAACAAAATGATGCATTGTTCCTGGACGTCCAATTTTATAACTTGAGTCAGGACAAAGGAGACTCAGGGGTAATGCCCACCAAGCCTATGGGTTCATTGATGGCCCGTGCTAAATAAATTATTGATACAATCCTTCTGCAGCAGCTCTAAGGAACCAGAAATACCACTGAAGGTTTAGTTGTGATGAGGCTTGACACCACCCTCCCCAGTAGCCTGCCCGACCTTACTTTCTATTGTTCACTGTCAGCCATGTTGAATTTCCATGACTAAGCATCAGCCCAGACAGCCTTCACAACGCACCCAATAGAAGGAAGGGATCCAAGTCTCCATGTCCAGATTGAGTCATACAATGTAATTTCCAGGATCTATCCATCATTTATGATCTTATGTCAGTCCAAGGAAACTTGTGTATCTGATGTTGGGTACAAGAAAAAAGAAAGAAAGGAAGCAAAAATTTTTTTTAGCTCCAAGTGCTACTGTTACCAGAAGGGGAAGCAACTCGAAAGTGAGAGTAAGGCACCAAGTATTAACCTTGCCTTCCCCACTGCTCAAACAATTCATGTATATTACTTTCTATCACAGAACTGACTTTTAAAAAGACATTCAGTGAGGTATCCCACAACAAGACTGGACAGCTGGTACACATTTTCTCAAGAAAATTTATAACCCTTTGACATCCCTGAAAACATAACACTGAATGCAGCCCAGTTGTGCAAGGCAGATATCTACCACAATACAGATTTTGGAAGCACCAATGTTTAGATCAATGAACCAAAGCCGTAAAGTGGAAAAAACCCTGCTATGAAAACCTTAACTAAGAGAGAGAGAGAGGAAACCAACTTCTTAATTTTTAGATTTGTAATCCCACCACAGTTGAGGAGAATAATCAAAACCAGAATCACATTCATAAAAAAAGAAAAGAACTGCAAGGCGCTAAGTTGTCCAACTGAATAAGGGCAAATGGCAAAACTATATCCTGTCACAAGAGCTTGTATCTCAACCATCCTCTATTGTCAAACTAAGGCCGTAAATAAAATGACTTTCACAAGCCAACTATTAACATAGAGCAAAGGTCCTCCAAAACACCAAAGAATGTAAAAAAACAAAAACAAGGTCAAAGGATGAAGAAACAAGTAATGATATCTAGGATCATTACAAAACTATAGAGCTAAATGAGATCTACAAAACCATTAAATAGACATAAGGCAAAGGAATTTTCTAAGGCTCTCATAAAAACTGCCCATATATCAACAAATAATTGATCTAACTCAGTTACATCAATTTAGAAGTGAAAATAAAAATCAATTAAAAGTCTAAAATAAACTTATGTAAATTTCTGGTACAGTAGGAAACAGATTCCCCAAGAGGTTAACCTTTGATAGATCTCTCATGAACCTTAAAAAACCGAGCAAACACTGACAAGATAATGTCCCCACTTGGACTGTCGAGCTACTAATCATCCTTTCCCTTAATGACACCAAGAAATGTTAATTTGCTCAGAGATGATAGTGGTACCTTTAACCAGTTTTGAGTCTGGAGCTTTACTGAGAAAATGAAGAGCTTGGAAAATGTCAAGCCCCCAAAGGGTCCTATAATGAAAGCTGCCACTGTTTATACGAGTTAAGAAAGAGAAAATTCCAAGTGACTTAAGACACAAAATCTTCTCTTTTTATGGTTCTCACAGCTGGTTCTCTAATAAGCACTCAGGAATTGGCGACTCGCAGTGTTGTGAGATACTACTGCCCACTTACTATGGCATTATGTACTGAAGTAATCTAGGACTCCTTGAAGTGACATAACAAAATCAACTTATTTGTACCATAAACAAATTCTTGTAGTAACCTTCCTATAACAAAATATGCAGGAAGAAACCAACAAATTACCTCATCTCATGTCCCACACTGACCTCCAACCCTCACTACAAAAGGAGGCTGCTAAACCTGGAGGCTTCCTCTCAAACTTCTGAGAGAAACTCCTAGAACCAAAGAGGGAGTAACAACTAGGCAGGAAGTAAAAACAAAAATCAGTTGGAAGGAGAAGTTCTTCATAAAATCGAACTTAACATTTTGTCAGCTAAGTCACAATGTCCTTTTAACAGAAAATACAATTATCTCCCTGGAACTCTCCAAAAGCTGGAATAGATTTTGAACCTTCCTGGAAATCTCTCTCCATTATGGCCGTGGGAACGAGTTTCCAAGGATAAACTCGAGCACATTTTTTTGGAAAAATGCAGAGAAAATCTCTCTAAACCTCTCTGTTCCGGGCATGGGAACAAATTTTCCAGGAGTTCCGAGAGATTGCATCATGCTCCAACTTAGGCCGTAAACTCTCACACTTCGTCCATATTCTGCTGCCATTGTACAAGGTTGAGCCCTCACTCACTGCTGTTTTTGTGTACAATTTGTGTTGTGCACTACTGTACATTACTGTACCAGTACTATCAGGACACAACCAGCAATAACCAGACATAAAGTGATTACAGTTATGAGTGGTCCCTCGGTTAACAAGCACAATCCGTTCTAGAAGGTTGCTCGTTAACCGAAAAACTCGTTAACCGAAACCATTGTATCAATGGGTTTTTGGGTAATTGGTTCCAGCTCACCGAAAATTGCCTAAATTCAACAAAAAAGGTAGAAAGGTACACTTACTTTGAGGTGTGTATGTAGAAGGCTCCTGGATGATGATGGGAATTAGAATGGGGGTGGAGGAGAAGGGAGAAGAGAAGGCATTGGGGTGGAAGAGAAGTCACCCCAGGGCACCATTTCACCCATAAAATTTTAGTTCTCTTGGTGTAATTCAAGATTATTTTCTTTAAATCAACACTGCACTGCATTATATATTGTCAATATGTAAAATAAACTTCAAAATGACCAATAATTTGCTTGTAAACACAGAAAAAAAGCATTTAGTTGAAGAGTCTCAAGCAAGATGTTACCTCCACTGAAAAGACAAAAAGACTGATGCCTGTATGGTGTGTTGGCAGGCTGGATGGCGTGCCACAAACTAGTGACCCTACCTTCAATTATGTTCAATAATTGTTAAAATGACTAAAAAATTTAATATTAAACTTTTAAAATTATTGAATAGTATAAACTTCTTGATATTTACTAAAAGGGTAAGGAATTTAAGCCCTAGAACCGATTACTGTATTGGCGGACTAATACTACAGCTGGTGGACCGCCAAATGCACGCTAAACCATGTGGAGGTCGGCTCGTAAGAAACTCGTTAATCGAGGGATTGCTCGTTAACCGAAGTTAAGAATCTTATGGATGGTAACTCTTTAACCGTTAACCGAGGGACCACTGTATACTGTATTGTACATTCAGCAGAGTGGACAGTGTATGCCTACTGTAGGCTAGTGTGTAGAGCTTTATGTATAGTATACAGTGTGTATACAATTCCTCCTTCATGGAGGGGAGGGAGAGTGATAGTAGATGGTACAGGACAAAGGCAGGCCATCATGTACATGTATTATCATATTACAAGCTCAAGATGACAACATCTGCTGAGGAGTACAGTATATACAGTACAATAGTAGTATATATATAAATATATATATATATATATATATTATTTTGTTTATTTACAATATATTGTACAGGTATGCATATACCTGTAGTGGTGTTTGTGTAAATAAACACAGCTCTGTGTCTGTCCACGCAAACTGAATAGTTTATACACTCGGAAAGCTTTCTCCAGCACCCAGAAACATTCTGAGGATGTGTAATAGTGTCTGTCTGTGCGAAATGCATAGTTTAGGCTCTTGGGAAAACTTACCCCAGTAACTGGAAAAATTCTGGGGATGTGGGATTTTTTCCGAGGATGAGAAATTTGTCTTGATACCCAGAAATCTCTCATTCCAGGAACGAGCTCTGCATCAATTATTCTGGCTAACAGGAATTACTGTATACCAGTAATCAATAATATAATAAGACAAACCAAAACTCAAGGCTAAAGCAAAAAATGGACATAATCAGGGTGGCTAACAAACTATAGCCAAGACCAACCAGCCACTGTCAGTTATACCAAATACTACTGTATAATAACTTAATGGAAAATACATCCACTAATTCACCCAAGTCCAGTTCTAATAGAGAAAAAAAAATCACCAATATCTTCATGAGTAGACAAATCATTTGCTGAGCAAGCAATATTTATCCAGTACGTATATTTACATTGCATTATAAACAACT